ATTATTGTAAATAATTTCAAGTAAAATATTACTTTAATCTCAATTTTTATTACTACAGACTCCCAGAACATGATAGGTGTAACAGTAACACTACTGTACAAACATACCACTGGCTCAAATCATATGGTTTATGTTTTCAATGGATACACATATGTCTTTTCATAAATATATAATCTCAGGAAACAGAAATTTTCAGTAAATACTTCAACATTCAAAGTGCAAATACTTTGGTTCTGTCAGAACCCTAGATCCTTCGTACTTCTAAGTAACAATGGTTGGTTCAACCAAAGTTGAACCTAAGTAAAAATTGTAACAGGGGAAAAAACAAACAAACAAGTTTTGATACTTAGTAGCCAAAAATAGAAAGAACAATCTCTTGGAACTCAAAATGTCCCTCAGACATTTTTGGAGGTTCCAGGCCCTGGGCAGAAGCATTTGAGACCCCGGCAGGCAGCTGGAAACAGCTGTGATTTTGAGTTTGAGCCATGGAATGAGTTACCAACTTTGAAGGTGGAACAAGCAGTCACAAAAGTTTAGATATTATAGTAGAAGTAGCTACAAAGTAGAGGGGAGAATTTTTTAGTATTGTACAGGGGGGTTTTAACACCTGTACAGGGGGAGTTTTACTTTGTACATGGGGTCAGAAGTTCTAAGATGGAGGAATGTAGGCCGGTCCTGTTCTTCCTTGCCTCCATGTTCTTGGTGATGCTGGCTGGCACTTACGGATTGGTTTAGAGTAGAAAAGCACCATTTAATATGGGTAGTAGGTATTGGGGAAAAACTGTAAACATGTATCACATAATGTACCATATAAAAGATAGCAGCAGCCCTGGGCAGGGAGAGAAGAAGACAGCAGACAGAGAGGGTGTCAGAGGTGTGTCTGCCTCTGCCTGAGCTGCTGAGCAAACCGCAGTAGCCAGAGAAGACAATCTTCTAGATAGCTTGCAATAAACAGCCATGAGACTGAACAACAAGAAGCTGCAGAGTTTTTCTTTGGAAGCACAGGTTGGAGGAGAGCCTTTACCACCACACAGAACACCTGAACCAGGCCAGGGTTCCAACAACAATCCACCCATACAACTTTATAAATACAGACTATGAAAACTCAACGGCAATTCACAGAACTTTCAAGTCCCATCTCCAACCCTTCTGTTGTGAAAGGATTAAAAGGAAAGCAGATGGTAACATTAGTGGAAACTAACCACACCATCCAATCACAGCATTCTAAACAGCAATTTAGTACCAAAAAATGTTTTGACTCAAAGCATATGGGAAGTTATGCCCTGCTCATCTGCAAACACATTCCCATCACTTAAGTGCTGTAGTGCTAACATTTTACACACTCCTCAGACGCTTTCCTGTCACAGAAGAGTGGGAATAAGTTTAGCTAAGTACAAGAACAAAATAACAAGATACTTAGTCCAGATTATTTATTAAAATATATATAAAAAATTAACATGGTTAAAATGGCATACAACAAAAACATTAAAATATCAAGAAAACACATCGGGTCCACTCACCAGTGAAGCTGTCTGAAGACCTACAGTGCGTGTAGCCTGTAGGCAGATTCCCTGCTTCCGGGAAATTAGGGTTCTTTGCCATTCTGAACAACAGACAGATTGAACAGCAAGCTCATAGAAATGTTATTCAGCAACATCCAGCTGCACAGCAACAACTGGACCATTTCCTGGAACAATGCATGAAATACACATCATCAGAAATAATGAGTACAAAGCCTTATGATGAAAGTGAGAGATGCATATTTCTCAATTCAACTTCTTGCAGACATAAATTCTTTAAAAAGCTTTCAATTTAACAGGGAAACTTCTAAAAACATTAGAATATAGGAATAGTATTGCTATTCTGAGTCATCATAATTTAATTTTGACTGCTAACATTTTAAACCATTAGAGAAGACAGTAACACATCGCCATATTCCATATAAGCTAAAAAATTCTATCCTGACATTTCTGCGACAGCATTAATGCCCCTGGAAAACACCATTTTCCCAGATGGGTGTCCTAATTAAACTAGGTCTAGACAAACTGTATCACACATGCTTTGTTCCCTACACAGACAAAATTCTCCAAGTGTTCTTGCCTAACTAAAGTGTTGGGGATTTCATTTGGGCTTTGGTAGTTTTTTTTTTTACAAAACTTAAGGCAGATGCAAGACCTGTCTATTGCACAAGCCTTTTTTTTTTTTAACAGGAAACCAAAACAAAACTGTAAGGTTAGGAATGGAGAAATATAGAGGCTTGATTTGCTTAAATACATAACCAACATAATGAGTTTCTCTCAACAATTACAAATTACTGCTAACCTTCCAGGAAGAAAAATAAACTGTATTTAATTTGCTAAATGGATGATATCTTGATCTATGAATTCTCTCATGATATGTTCAAGAGAACAAAGGAAGAGAAGGCAGAAAAAAAATATTTTTAGGTAGTCTCATGAACTAGAAAGTAATCACACCTTAATCCTGCAAATCAAATCCAGGCTTTTTACAAAGAAAAGTCTTCTGGTCTTTGAGGACCAAAATGTAATACATAAGTATCTTTCCTATAAGAAATGCATGTTATCAAGTTTGCCTGTGTTATCAAAATACATTCAAAAGGCATTAATGAAAAATCTTGGGTTTTTTTTGTTTGGTTGGTGTTTTTTTTTTGTTTTTTGTTTGCTTTTTGTTTGTTTTTGTTTGTTTGTTTTTGTTTGGTTGTTTTTTTTTTTTTTTTTTTTTTTTTGCTAAATTTGAGTAGAATTCCCAACAAAACAGCTCTAGCACCGGATTTAGAGTTGTAACAGAAGACACATCAAATACACCTGCTCTGTGAGCAGGCTCAAATTAAATCCTAAAACACATAACTTAAACGATTCCAGCACAGGACTTTAAGAAGGTCTGTTTACTATGCTTTAAAAACATGAGCAAAAAGCATTGCTTGGCAAGCGAGATCACCGGCAGATTGCTAACAAGTTAACAGCAAGTTGTTTTTTTTTTTTTAAGTCTGATAATATGTCTTCTAAGTTAAGAGTAATTTCAATGAATCACAGCAGTGCGTAACTTGCAGAGTGATTGAACTAGTACGACACCAAACATTGGTGAAACAGGGAAAACACTGAGTACCGCGAAAGCATCAAAATACTGAACTTGTGTTTTCTTAAGAAATAAAATTCTAATTAGATGGCCGTAGCACGGCCTTGCGAAGCCAGAGGCAGAACGAGGGGGCGGCAGACGAGGCGGGCGCGGAGCAGCGCGGGCGATGCGCCCAAGGTCGCGCCCGGGGCAGCCCGGGCCGCCACCGGCCCTCAACGCGGGAAGCGCCAGGGGAAGGGACCCCAGCCCGCCCGGCCGGCCCCTCCCTCGCCTGCACAACGAGGCACTTCAGGTGAAACCGCTTCCCCGCCAAATGCGCCCGGCGCCTTCCCCGGACGCCGGCGCTCCCCCGCCCCGCCCCAGGTCGCCCTGCCCGTGCCCGGCGGGAGCCGCCGACGGCAGCACCTCAAGACCCCAGGCAGCCTCGGGACCCCGCCCGGCCTCAGGGCCGCGGCCGCCCCGCCCCTCCCGCCCGCGGGACTCACCGGCCCCTCCGCCGCCGAGGCCTCCTCTTCCCGCCCCGCCGCCGTTCAACGTCACCCGGCAGCGCGCTGAAGTCACCGGACAGCAGCGGCCTGCGTATGACGCCAGTGGGTTCCGCCGCGCCGCGGGAGCGCCGCCGCCGCCGCCGCCGCCCTTTTTCCTGCTCCGCCCCTGGAGCGCGGCAGTCGGGACATAGCGGCGCTGCCGGACAGCAGGGACTGTGAAATAGCGACCGCTGTTTAACCTTCCCCGCCACCCCTGTCCGCTGCTCCTTGGCTCCATTCAAAATCCCCGTTTCCTTGGTAGCGGCGTGCGTAGCTCCTGCCCTCCGCTGCGTGTCCTGCTTTCCTGCGTCAGGAGAGCTTCTCCCTGCGGGAATGGGGAATGTGGGCCTGTCGCTACGTAAGCATGAGTGACTTGTGTTGCGCTGCATGAAGCTAAATTTATGCCTTTTGGGAGGCAAAGCACTACACGCTATTTAATTCCATGGTTTATTTAGAAGAAAAGAAGCCTTCCTTGGAAGAAGCAAAAATAGTGGCCTGTAATCAGTTGGAACATGAAACAATTTCAGAAGTTTTTCTGTGTCTAAAATACTTTAAAAACGTTGCAGGTTAAAAGACTTGTAATTCTGGATTTGGGTTTTTTTTTGCTTACTAAGCAGAGAAGCTTTAGCCTAGCCTGCTGCTACTTATGTAGTTATCCACTGGACTACATGATAGGAAAGATGTGTGCTAATGTCTTTACAAACAATTCCATGGGCAGGGTATAGGTATTAATGCCTTTGAAATAGTTCCTAATGTCTCTACCAACTTCAAGCCTCAGGTTTGTAAGAGCCCAGACAATTTGACTCCTGAAACAAATGGGTCCACACACAAGCCAGTTTCTGCATTTTGGGGGAAAATGACATGTTAAGGAGGAAGTATGTGGTAGGCAGTTCAGAAAGGCTGTACCTTCCTAGTACCTCAGCCAATGGGGAAAGAAGAGGTCAACATGTGGCTGGGAGTTTATAACACGTGTGTGCCCCAGTGAACACTGCCTTTATTTGAATATATTTGCAGGACGACTGTCTCCTTTGTGGACACTGGCTTTTCATAGTGTGGCTTTTCTGCTCACATGGGGGCTTTCAGGGTCCTTCCACTGTCTGGACCCAGCACATGGCAGCAGGAGCTGGAGTCACACCTCACCCAGTTTTTAGGCAACCAACTCCCTTTGGCACTGGCCACCATCGAGCAATTGATTAGGTTCCCAAGACTGTCCGGGAGACAGATGAGAGGTGGACCAGTGAGGTCTGTGAAGAGTCCACAGGAAAGGATCATTAGAAATTTCATTGCCGAGTACAATGATTCCAAACAGAATACTCTAAGCAAAACAGCAAGCCTTTCAGTCATCAAGAATTCAACAAAAAGCAAAGCAACACTTCATCATGCGTTAAAGTTTCTTGTAGTTTTCACCAATGTTTTATTGGGAAGTGAACTGCAATGCCTTTACACTATTTGTTAGCCTTTGGTTACCCTATACATTATTTGATAGCCACATAACTGAAGACGTTAGGTGCTACTCCAAGCAGAATAAGACAAGGCAGAGGGTTTTATAATTTGTGTAATACATGGAAATGCTCCATGTTTTCCTGCTGCTCACAGGTATGTACCACCACTTGTTTTGGGAGGACAATCAAACAGAGAATCTTTTTCATTCATTTTCTAGAGCAGAATATACAAAGAATTTAAGTCAAATCTAGCCCCAGACTTCTCCTGAAACAAAAATTATGAGCAAGTTCTTCCTAGTGTTGAAAGAGACAAGGGTCACTGCAAGTTGGCAGCTATGAGACCTCTTCTCTTGGCTGTCAATCAGCAGTCAAAAGCTGAGCTGAAAGACTGAATTCTTTCTGCTGTACAAATTTATTCCTTCTATAAAACTTCTTTTTGCAAGACAGTTTAAGGCTGCTCCTTAAAAGAGTTTTGCCTGGAATAATGTAAATAAGATTATGAATTTTATAAGCAAGCTACTACTCCAGTCAAAATTAGCCTGATATTTTATTTTTCTAGTATGCAAATTAGGACATGAAGCCTTCAGGATCTTCTGACTTCATAAATATACTGAAATTTCTTTTTGCTTCCTCATTGATGCCCATCAGTAGTAACACAGGAATTGTTGCCCATTTAAATCTAATCAGTGTGAGATGCAGTGAGCTTCTGGTCACATATCTTTTGACAGTGTTTATTGAAATATTAACATAAACAATGTTCAAGAGGAGAATCTGTGTAAGTGCTCTTCCAGAAAATGACTGAGTATTCCTAACTGGAAACAATTGGCAGTGGCATCACAGGAGAAGAGAAAAGGAATCCAAGTTAGGTCCCAGGGGATAGTTTTGGAGGAGACTCTGAACGTGACTGATTCCTTTCTATTAAGCAATTTTCACAAACACTATTACAGATTTTCTCCAGGAGTCTGAAAGTGGGTCTCTTATACAATATACTTTGCTAGAACTAAGTGAGAGTCACCATGTGTTTAGGATTCAAAATTTCAATCCAGTAGCCATCAGGGTCCTGAACAAATGCAAGTCCTTTCATTTTACCTATTACGGGAAAAAAAAAAAAAAGATAAAATGAAGACTACATGACTGATTCTAAATGTCAAATATGACTACTTTCAAAAATATTTTTAGTTTTGCATGAGAATTAGTTCAAATTTAGACAGATAATTCTAAAAACATCCAGCTTAGTTTTTAATCGGCATTAGATCTCTGTATGCAAAACTGTCAATCCTACTCTCAATAAAGCTGTAGTTAAAAGTCACTTTGGAATTCAATCTTTTGTTGATTGAAGTTTTTTGCATATGCCCCAGTAAGTGTTCATCCTCAAAATTCAGGAAAATATTTCTGTGCTCTGGGGATGTTTTGATATATTTTCTTGAACTGGCTTTGCTGGTATAAAATCCTGCATTCCTCTGCCCTGTTCATCTCCCACCATTCCCAACTCCACAATGAAATTTTACCATAAAATTTTTACCTCTGACATGGTTTACAGTATACTTCTGCACCACTTCATAAAGCAAAGAAATGCAGGACAGGATTGTTACAGATTTTACTGCTGGAAACCATATTATTCCTTAAAACAAGCTCCCCAAAAGTTGTTTTCAACAGTAGATCAGGACAACACAGCTTAAAGTGTTAACCACACACTTGTAGTTATACTTGCTCCATTAAGTTATTTACTGTAACAGACCCAGCCTAACTCTTAATATATTCTAGTCACAAAAACAACGGAGAAAATAGATGTTTATTCATTAAGGCAGGAAAATAAACCCTATGCTTGATCTCCACCATGCTCTGCAAACAATGTTAAACCCAAAACTTCATTCTCCTGCTTGGCATTTGCTGCATCAATTTTGTTTCTGAATTTCAAAGAAGAGCTTTTGCTCTGCCCCCACCCTTCTTCTGCTTCAGGAGTTCTTTCTTGTGATTCTCTCCATTTATAGTCTAAGCTTGTTCTTCTATGTACTTTCATGCCTACCGCTGCACAGCTGTAAGTCAGCAATTCTCACTTCAAGCCTCTCACTGTTTAACAAACAGACAAATTAAAAAAGGCTCAGAAACTCTAAAATGCTAGAAATACCAAGATCTGTTCTTAATTCAAGAAATCAAGTTAAGTTTTCAGCTACATTTCTTATTTTGCTTCAGCTGAGAACACAGTGAATAAGATGAAAATCACTTAAATCTGTTTTCAATTACTAGTATTACATGTCTGGTTTTGCATGCATCAGTCCTAAAAATCTCATGAGGTCTTTCTATGAAAGAGAATCCTGCTGAAAAATGCAAGACTTCTCACCACTTCTGCATTTTGGGATATCTTCACATATGCATTCTTTGCATATATACTCTCTGAATATTTGTGCGATACATTATGCAAGTCAATTATGATAAAGACTAATGGGCTACTCCTACCAAAGCTGAAAGAGCAGTTAAAAATATAATAGCTGGTAGGTTGTACAGTAGGTGTTAGGTGGATTTACATGAAAATAGCCAGAAAAGTCAAGAATGACTCAGTTTAAATAAGTGGGAACTATTATGTTTTCTGACTTACTTTCCTAAGACAAGAACCAAGCAGATTTGCCATGTGACTCTGATCCATGTTACAGTAAATTCTGTAACAACTCTAGGCAGCAGTATAAAATTATATGTAAACTATGACATCAAGAGAGAATGTGAATTTTACTGAAGGTTAGGCTGCATACAGAAGGCACATCACAGACTGATGTATTATTGTTACTGGGATGGATCTATTGTCAGTTTTGCCCACTCTGTAAGGCAGTGCAGGGGTAACTGGTTTTAGAAACCTCTAAGCAGTGGCAACTCCTAGCAACGCATTACTCAGCTTTCCAGGAAGATCTCATAGACAGAATATATTAAAATCAAAGGGAAAAAATTTCTTGCATTTCTGATCAGACTTACCATCATCTGGTTTCTTCACAAATTTCACTCCTAGTTCTTCAAACCTCTTACAAGCTTTATAAACATCAGGAACAGCAATTCCAATGTGTCCTGTGAAAGAAAGTAAAAAGAGTGAAGTGCAATATAAATATTGCTGAGTGTTCTGTGAAAAAGAGTTTAGTATTTCATGCTGTACTTCACAGAAGCAATGATTATATTTAAGAGAAAATTCCAGAAAGAGCCTTTTGGATATTAACATTATTCTTCTTCAAACAGCTGTCTTTTGATAATGCCTTTTAAATACAAATGTTTGAGTTGAAGTATCTTGTGCTGTTTAGACAAGAACTTTATTTAGAATAGGAAAACATAAGATTTTCAATCATACTGTTATATCAATGTGTTCTTTGTTGAAGTGCAGCTCCATAACAGGATTTTGTTACATTTGCTCTGTTTAACAGCACATGGAGATTATCAGCAATGCTGTTTTTGCAGAGACTGACACTAGTGCTATGCAAGGGTTGAGCTTACAAATCACTTCAGGAGCTTTAAATGCCAAGTGGCTGGACCAGTGTGAAAACTTATCTCACAGCAGTGACCTTTCAAGCACTCAAGTTATCAAATCAAGCCACACAAATAATATCCTCAGTGATACAGAGAAATGGAATTGTCTTTCTACCATACAATTGTTAATTAGTGGATTATACAGTGGAAATCCAAGATTAAATCAGTTTAACCACTATGATAATCTAATACACAACCACAACTGATGTTCTTCACTCAGTAGTTACAATTGGCATTTGTTTGTCTGCCAAAGGATTAGATTTTTGATAAAGAGTGTAACTATGGCTCAATACTCTGAAACACATTGCTTCATTTATTTTCATCATCTTTCACAGTATACATGTTGAAAGAAGAGAGATAAAGGATGAAAGGCAAGTTCCCTACTTTCCAAGAGTTAGCACATTTTATTTCAAAGCTTAAAAACTATAAACAAAAAACTAAAGACCTACCAAATCCCCGGGGATCTGAATTGCCATTGTGGTAAGACTGACTGTCATCATTTTCAGTGCCCCAGTTGCTGTAAGAAGCAATTATTACAGATTGAAGAAAAGCATTAAAATTAATTAATCCTAAATGTTCAGTTTCCCTGGAGAGGGTAAGTTGTTTTTCCTAAAAAAAACACAGAATTTCAGCTGTTGGCCGCATTCATTAAACTATAAAGATCTTCCCTAGTCATGGGCTCCAGGGATGGTCTTGGGACAATCCAGTCATGTCATTCCTTCACTATTATTTAGGGTCTACATTTGAATGAGTCAGAAATACTCCTGTTTCATTCAGACTAGAGAGATGGTTTTGCTGCACATGTCAGTTTAACTACCCATCACTGGGGAACAGCAAGTGAGGGTAGCAGGTAGTGCAGTTAAGTAAGACAGTGTTTGGGAGATTGTGTCTGCACAATTATAGTGATTACTAGCATTAACCAAATTATCCTGTTTACAAGAAGCACGTTTTGACTTAATACCACTTTAGATTAGATTCCAAAAGCAATAGTTACCCATTATTAGGATGCTTTGGGGATCCAAAGAAAGGTCTAGCCACTTTGGGTTTCCCTAAACTACTTACCCAGATGGCATGATTAAAAAATACACCAAGTACTGTTTCATGTTAATGTTCACCATATTAATGTTTGAAAGAGCTCTGAAAGAGGAAGATTAACCTTTCCAAATATCCAGTCTCAGATACATTGTAAGTTTGTATGACAGTGAAGATGTATCCACAGTAATGATTAAATTTTTTATTCAATCTAATGGGATTTACACTTTTCCAATACTATTTGATCACTGTTAGCAAAGTGTAATCTCTCCTTATGTAAATACTTACTGCGTCAGTTCAAGTGTAGCTTTTCTAGAGAAGGTCCATGGTGTTCTCTCAGCTTTATCTTTTGGGATATCGTTTTTATCTTCATACCCCAGGAAATAGAGTGAGAACTTCATAGAAGGAAAGTCAAATTTTTGAAGCAGTCTAAAGGGCAACAATTATTTTGAAATAGTAACTTAAAAGGATAGTCAGGTAGCTTGCAAATAAACCAAGATGGGTTTATGGAAAAATTATTTTCATGAATTTCTGCTCTTCTATAATCCACACCTTAAAACAGCCACATTTTAAACCATCAAGTAAAAATACTCCAGAACACATTACAAACCTACAATATTTAAAAGAATCAGATGTTTAAAAACCAAACTACAAGTAACTGAATAGAAAAGTCAGTAGAAAGGCTTCGATCTTCAGATTGTCACTCTGTTACTTGACTGTGTTTTCATAGGAAAACCTTTAACCACTTTAAAATTTCACCAAGGAATAAAAATATCTACTTTGAATCTTACTCATTCTAGAGAGCTCGGTGGTACCAGACAAACATACCTTTAGATTAAATACATTTACAGTTTCAATAGCTAGCTATAATGATAAAACTCCTTTGTGATGTGACAATTTAGTCAACTAAAAATACAGGAAGCATACATTTTATGTGAGGCATTTAACTGGAACAAGTAGGCATGCAAAATTAATCTTATTTCTTTTTTACAAGGTATTTTTTATTTTCACACGTTTTCACTACAGTGGAAGTAATTTATTTTACTTTAGTCTGGACTAATTTCAAGATGTTTACAAACATATTATTTTGTTTTGAAATAACTCAAATGGTAAGAATGAACAAAAAGCCCCAGCATAAACATGTTAAACTACTGCATGGCATCTGCCTTCGAAAGCCCTCTCCACAAGACTGAGCCTGGACTTTGTCTTCACCCTTTATTTACTTATTCTCATGTGACTGGAGGCAGTCATAAGCCACTTCTGAGAACCAGCAGAAAAAACTTAATTTCAAGATTTTTAACAATGATTCCTCATTATAAGCACAGTCATAAAAGTTACTGAGCTGCAGGCTCAGTGAAGAGGAAATAAGCAAGTTGTACCCTGATAATTAATGACCTATTTAAGAAAAAAAGAAATTTCTAGTCAAGGCCAATATTAGTTCATTTGCACCTTACGCATGTACAGCTTACTGCCAGACCATCCAACTAAGCATCAGCTGATGGGACAGCATTGTTTATGTAGATAAACCAATTAGTATAATTACATCCTAAAAAAAATTCAGAAGAACAGAAAAAAACCCCAAACCAATCACGGCATACAAATTCTACTCACATCATTCCAAGTACCCTTGTATAAAAATCCAATGACTTCTTAGGATCCTTTACTCTTAACATTGTCTGCTGAAATATAAAATCCTATAGGGAAGAAAAGATTTGTACTTTATATATCAACCAGAAATGAATTATAGGTATTAATAAAGATGCCAGTTAGTAATGACTCCAAAACCAGGAGGTTCAGAAGTAACAAAGAGAATTATTTCAACTTTTGTCCTGATTCTACACATACAAATTTGTATTATATAAATACATCTTTGTAACATAACATTTAAAACAAATAACCAATCCCATGAGTGGTATAATTCAATATGTATTACCAGATGTATCAAAACAGAGTATCCTTATATTTATTATTCTTTTATAGGGCTGTAGCATACATGAACAACTTCACACACAAGTGCAACAGACACACGAATATTCAATATTGAGCCTCCTAGACTCCTGAGCTCATTATTGTTATTAATTCATAGCATTGAAATAATAAATTCACAGATATTGAACGTCTGTCAAGCTTGATTATATCTTGGCAGTAGAACCGGCCTACCACTCTGTAAGGATATTTTCTTGAAGCCCCAAGGTGACTAAATACTAAGAAGCTTGTGAACAACCAATGGAATAAAAAGTGAGTGGTATAATAGGCAACAGAGGTAAGGGGGAAAAAATTAAAACTTCAACTACAATGTTCTGCTAATAAAAAGAAAACCGTCTGGGGCGTTTTGACAGGTTTTTCCGTGCCCCCAGGCAGTGACTGCCCGAAGCGCCCCGGAGCGCTCGCTCAGAGCAAGGACAGGCGCGGGCCCGGCCGCGCGCGCCCCGCGGGGTTCAGGGGCTCGCAGGGACCGGCCCAGCCCGTCCGCCCCGCCACGACCACGAACGCCGCCGGGCTGCCCGACACACAGGCCGCCAGGGCAGCTCCGGGCCCGGACACATTTCGCGGCGCCGCCGAGATCCAGCCCGGCCCCATGCTGGCCTCCATGCCGGCCTCCACGCCCCGCACGTCCGCCCACTGAGGCGCCGTGAGGGGAGCGGGGAGGAGCGGGCGCCACAGCCCCGGGGAGCGCCCTCAACCACCCCACCTTGGTGCTGGCATCCGGCTCCGAGCAGGCGCCATAGGCTGCCTCGTCCGTGAGGCCGCAGGGTTCCGCGGGGGCAGCCATGTCAGGAGAGGAGGGCGGAGACGAGGAGGAAGAAGGAAGGGGAGGAGGAGGCGGAAGAAGGGAAGGAGGAGGCGAGAAGGCGGTGCTGCGCCCCACGCCGCCACCGGCTGGGCCGCTCCGGCGCAGGGGTGGCCGAGGAGTATTGCAGAAGTGTGGGATCAGATCGACTTCTGCCGGTTCATCCCTAACTCACAGCGAGCCCCTCAATTCTGAATCAAGCGTTTCAATTTTTGTTTTTATATTAGTCAATAGTTTTATCTGCATAGTTATGATTAAACGGCTACATTGTGGACGTCGTCTGCTTGGCTAATCTTTTGTTTTAAGGAAGAGAGAAAGCAATCCTACGATGAATGGGCTGTCTGGACTAGAGCCACCAAGAGTGAAATCGTGAAATCAGCAAAACTGAGTAGTAAATGGGAAAAAGAGAATCCCAGCAATGGGCAGTTGTGACCGCTTACTCATTGACCGCCCACTCAAAACGAGTCCCAGACTCAGGTGGAAGGAAGAATTGCACCTGTGGACTGATTAGCATTAGAAGAAAGACACAACTAGCAAAAACTGGGTTGAGCACTAATTAATAGCAAGGTTATGTAATTTCTAATCAATGAATGCTGATGCTTTTGTTTGTTGGCATTTATAAATACTATAAAGGTTTGATTACTGGGGAGCCAGCATTTTGTGCATTGCCACCCAGCTCCCTACTTGGAGCAAACTAGAATAAAAAATAGAAATATCTTGCCTCCATGTGTGAATTGATGCTGCACGGGTAACGAGCCTGCATTCAGGACAACATAAGGACCAAAAGGAAGGGGCTTCCCTGACTGTGGCATTACTTAGCTGAAATGTGGCGTGAAAGTGAGGATCCCCTATGGTGACCTGACAACACATCCCTCCAGTTGCCACCAGAGGCCGAGGGTACCACACCAGTGCTGGAGCAGACACAGCTGATAACCCAGCTCCACTGGAATGGTGCTGCTTTCGTAAGTCCGGGCAGTATCAGGCTGTTTGGGAATCCTGGCCTTGCCTTGTTATCATACTCCTGGCAGCCTTGGTTTAGTGTTGACAGAGGTTGATTTCTGCTTTTTCTTCCAGGTGCTGGGAAAAGATTTCAAGTAGCATTTGTCAGAAAATCGCAGAATTGGCCAGATTGGAACGGACCACAGTGGACCTGTTCCAATCTACCTGCAGTGTTGTCCCAGAGTACATGGATTGTGTGCAGATGGGTTTTGAATATCTCCAGGGAAGGACACTTCCACAACCTCTTTGGGCAATTTGTTCCAGGGCTCAGTCACCCACATTAAGAACTTCCTCATGTTCAGGTGGAACTGCCTGTGCATCACTTTCTGCCTTTTATCTCTTATCCTATTGATTGGTACCATAGAAAAGAGCCTGGAAACATCCTCTTGGCACTCCCCTTCCACCCCTTCTTTAGATTTAGATACACAGAGGTCCCCTTTCAGTCATCTCTTCACCCTCTGGAGTTACACATTGTCCTTTAGTATAAAAATATCATTTCAGGCCTAAGAGCGAAGGATAGTATTTCTCTCAAAAACGTAGAATGAAAACCAGGATTGAATTCCCTGTGTGGGGAAAAAAAAAATAAAACTCCACACGTTTTATGATCGAGAGCAAAGCACTTGCGCAGCCCAGAGCTCAGTCTGCCTTACTCAAGTAACTTCCATGGGCACACTTAACCACGCGAACCGCGCGGGCAAGCCGTTCCCAGGAGCACGAGATCTTTACGGTGAAATGACGGTTCGGGTTCTGGGAGTCGAATTTTGGCCGGCCGTGCGCGGGCCGCAGCGGGCGGGCGCCGGCAGCGCCCTCCGGGCCCCGCGGCTGCCGGGCGGGCTCTGGAGCCGCCGGCCCGAGCGCGCCCCGCAGCGGTTACGGGCTCCGTTACCGGCATCGGCCGCTTGCTCGTGGCGGGCGCTCGACCGTCCGCTCCGCCCGCTGAGGGGAGCGCCGGTGAGCGCTGCGCTGCCGGGGGGCCGCGCCCCGCTGCCCGCCCTCTGAGGAGACACAGCTCCGGCTAGGGCGGTGAGGAATTTCTCCTGCATCTCTCTGCCAAAGCTGAAGTGCAGGCTAAGGCAGCTCAGCTCAGCTTTCCAGAAGAGAGCCGAAAGGCTGTATTCCCAATGCTTGGGACTCCTCCGCTTCTCCTTCCCTCTCATTCTCCTTCAACCCTCCTAAAATGATGCATGCGGGAAGCCAGACCTACTTTCCTTGAATGAGAAGTTCCTCTAGAGAAGCTTTGGAGCATCCTGGGGGGAAGGAAAGGAGATTTTGACATAAAAGCATGTTTGTTATTCCAGCCGGGAGAGGGCGGCAGATGGAGCTCATACAGGTTTTTGAAAAGTGTGAGACTTTAACCTGAACTGCCAGGTATCTTGACTATAGATTTTGGAGAGGCAGGGACAATGCCAGGATCCAATGCAGCTTTTGTGGGTTTTTTAAAGAAAGCTGTGAGAACCCCACCTCTCTCATCTTGTGCTTTAGGGGAAAGTATCAGCTAAAAGTGAACCAGCTAAAAGGCAGGGAAATCAGCATCCAACCTATTCCACTTGAGTGGAATAGGCAAGGAGGAAAGTACCACTGCTAATCTTGTAGATGGCCAGGCCATCTGCAGTCATAGAAACATGAAATAAATGTAGAAAAATAAGTAAATATAATTAATTTGCATTTCACTCTTTTTTTTTTTTTTTTTTTTTTTTTTTTTTTGGTGGCTCTCCTAAATTTGGGGGTTTTTTTGTTTTTTTTGGTGGTATGTTTACTTAAAGAAAGAGATGAACACTTTCTGTGGCAGGTGATTGATTGCATGCCTAAAACCAGAGAACATCAGCCAATTTGTCACCTATTACATGGGCAAAAATAAGGAGCAAGTAATGTACAACAAGGTGTTACTTTTCAGGTGATGCTCTTCATGTCAGCTTCCCCTTTGATTTTTTTATTTCCCAAATCAGGTAATAATGGCTAAGAGAGTATATAACACTGTTACAGCAGTGGGAGGCTTGCCCTTAGGCCTCATATGAACTTCTAAGAAATTTTTGATAGTTATCTTGATCCTTATTGTAATAGTACACTGAGCAGAATAGCAATTTCTGTGAATGCAAGTCTTTTTGTAAGCTCAGTTGCTGAATTTGGGTATATATTTTAGAAATTAAAATTTAAATAAGTCATCTGTGTTTGAAACCACCTATATTTCTCAGTAATCAGATATGCACTGAAATTATTTATATTTTAAAATATATTTGTTATATAGAAAGGCTTATTCGTGCCATGAAATTCATGTGTATGAAAAATTTTTTTTAAAAAATGTCTCATCTTGACATTTGTAACCTATCATAAAAATGTGTATAATGTCTAGCATTTTAAGAACTGGAAGAGGATTTGATGAGACTATTAAATTTATATACCTCTAAAGTCAGTTTTGCGATGTTCCTGTCTCCTGGAAAAGGTAGACTTGAAATGTCTGAATTGTTATAAACATAATCTTCTCTTTCCAAATTTCAGATTTTAGAATGGCGGGGGTACCAAAAAATAATAAAAAAGTTTCAGCCACTGGAGAAGAAGTAGCCAGATCTTCTCAAACAGCTCAACGATTAGTGAGCCTTTCCTCTTCATCTCGTTCTTTTGGAAGTCAAAGTTTTTCCAAGTTTTACCGCCCTAGTGGAGTTCCAAGCGTGCAAAGTTACAAAGCAAGAAAGGTTATATTTCTGGTTCTTTCCTCAGATTATTAAATTCAATTTATATTAATCATTAGTTTAAATTTTTAATTTTTTAAGTTTTTGTTTAGACTCAGTTCTTTTTACTAAATTATTTCTGGTAGAAAGTGAGTCTTTTTTCCCCATGTTTGTAATATTTTAAAATTTTAAAGTAATAGAGGTCAGAAGCAGGAGATAGTAACTGAATAATTTACAATGAAGCAAAGCTGTACTCAGCTTAGTTCCTGCAAATATTTATCCACCCTAGATACTTTATTTTTAATGGATGTTTTAACTTTTCTGTACTAATCTAATAAATTGGAATTTTAATGTTTGTTTTTTCTTGACATATCCTCAGGTTTGACTTCACATCTTATAATAACACTTCATAATTTGTTCTTCTGTTAGCCTCTGAAAATTTAGGTACTTTTAAAATTAGGGCATTTTGCAGCTGTAAATACAAGACGGTAGATTTTAGCATTAGTTACAAGTTAAGTAGCAGGTCATTGTTGTGATTACTTTGTGCATTTTTAGCTTGAAAGTCTTGTTTAATGTTTTAGATTCAATATGAAAAAGCAAGAGAAGATCGAAGAGCAAAAGTTAATGCTTCATATAAATACATATTTGAAGTTCTCAGTGCCAGGGTAGGCTTAGACTTACCAACTGTGGAAGAAATGATATTGGATGTCCCTTCGGTGAGTCTGTCCTGTGTGCCTGTTGATTTAATTTATTAGTTAAAATATGTAGCAGATTACCCCTTTGATAGGAAGTGTTATCCATTATTTTGATTGTTTCTGCCAGAAAATGTGATTACTAAGGCACACAATCAGTCTAGAAAGATACCTGTCTAAATCTTTCAGCTGAGTTTCCCAGCAGGTTTGCAAATATCCCCAATTTTTGATTGTGGCTTTTTCACCTTTCTTACCTCAAGAAAAATATAAATACTACTGTTATTTTGATCTTTTTACATCTGCCAGTTCCAAGCAGTTTCATCCATCTCAGACTGATTTTATTATGTTCTAATTATGATCACATTCATTTGTTAGGCAAATTCTCAATTAAATTTCTAAGATTGTGCCAAAGTGTGTAACTTATGGGAGCATTTTGAGAATTAGCATGTTGTTTGTAATAAGAAGGAAGATTAATCCTGCGCCATTTAAATAGTATGGAAATGTTTGAAAGACCCACTAAGAAATTTCATTTTTGACCTCTTTATTTATGTTTGGATGTTCAAAAGATTGGGTTAAGTGGGTTTGCAGAGTGTATAGATCTCAAATTTGTGGAACTTCTGAAAGCTTTCATTATTTTTATGTGTTTAGTGATGTCTTTCATGATGTTTCAAAGT